CAGCAAAGTTTCTTTTCCTTTCATGAGAAATAAGTGCATAAAACAGAGATACACTAACAACTTACAAGGTTCTTACAAAAAAAATAAAAATTAGGAGCTGAGATGCAGCTATGAACTTCTATAATAAATTGCAAATAGACATCAAAAATATTGGTTGTAACTCTTGGTCAGAAGTCATGGCTGACTTAATGAGGTCATAGCTGGATTGATAAAATACAGCTCAAAGTTGCTGCACTTTAAACCATTACTTTCAGTTATTCAGATAACTAATTTCAAAGTGTTTAATAGATTTCTCCTCTTGTTTTCCAAATGGGTGCAATAGTCTTTATATGTTTATTCTTCATATTGTACATATATAAATTTCTTGTGAAATCTGATATACCAAAGCTGCTTGGTAAGAGTTCAAAATGCTAGTAGAGACAGAGAGGTTAACTAAAATATTTTAAAATATTGTGTTTCCTAATACAGGTTCACCTCGCAGAGGCTATGGTCATTTCACTGTTGATGGTTACAGTTCTGTCTGAATGAGGCGCAGTGCTTTCTTCATGTTCTCTATTACTGAAAGAAAAATAAATAAGAACAGTAAAAATTTACTTAAAGCGCATTTGTACAATTAAAAAACCCACCTTGATTACTAAATTGTTCATATTGAAATTAATTTATGGTGACACATTATAGTTTAGAGCTTTCTATTGTGAAAATCCTGACACTGATAGCAAAGCAGAAAGTAAAAAGTTTCACGAATCAAAATGTTTAACTTAAAGGGATTTGACAAGACTCCTTTCATTTCTCAACAGCAAGTCTGGTAATCAGATGTGACGTGCATATTTGTGGTGAGATACGGCATCGGTGTCAGATAGGTGTTATAGAGAAAGGACTAGCTCAGCCTGAAAAATCACATTCCTTTCTGAAATGCGGGTGTTAGGTGGTACCCAGGTAACCACCAGCATTTCTTTTCTGATTCCCTCCCACCACTGCCTGTTTACACTGCGCAGCTCGATACCTTTGAGCACAGTGACTTTTACCATTCTCCAACAACTTGCTCAGATCTTGATCCTGAAAGTTTTTACCTGTGATCTTTCAACTTGTTTTACCTGACTGGTCCCAATAAATTTAATGGGACAATAGGTGTGTTTTGCTGGAACAGGTTAGACTATTATAATGGTTGAGCAAATGCTCACACACAGTCCTTATTCATTACTTTGAGATCTTAACAGGTTCTCAAGCACAAATGATTGGGATGGGGTCTATTTGGCTGCTTAAAACATGAAATGTAAAGGAACACAATGAAGGGGGCACTTACAGAATGGCATGTCCTGTGGTTCGTAAGTGTAAAGCCGGTTGGAGTATCTTCCTGTGATATCAGCTCTCACTGTGAGAGATGGGTCTGGAAAAGTAATGGTGTTAAACACTGCTTTCCATTCACACAATGGCCGAGGGTGATGGGAGTGGTGCTGCTTTGGCAGCCCTCTTTCTGAGCTGCTCTGATTTCATCGATGAGGCAATTACGAGGCCGTTACGCTCTGTTCCAACTAACTGCTCTTGGAGAAATCCTGAACAAAACCTAATGCTCATTTTTATGTTTTGCAGCTACTTTAAGTGACGGATTAGACTTGCATTTCATTTATATTTAAGAAAAATATCCTGTTTTACATCAGGGGAGGCCAGTTTGACTCACTGCATACATAGTGAGGGTTGTGTGTTCATAATGCATGACCTATCTAGAGCCTTCAGAATGAAAATCTTGTGATTCTCAATGTTTCAACCATAGGAGAAAGTTATTTTGGACATCTCTTCTCCCAGTTCCCCATCCAAGCCTTTTGTTAACTAGCTGCCTCCTGTTACTGCATTGCTCTCTGTCTAAGTGTGGACTTCATCTCACCTAACTTTGGATGCCACCAGAGAGCTGGTCACTCTAGAGTCCCTGTACAGTCAGTGAAAAGGAACAGGCACTCTGGGGCATGATTCATTCAACCTATTCCAGAAGTTGGCTTTATGATGGGATAAATCATTCCTTAGATGCCACTGACTATTGACTTGCCCTGTGGTAATGATGTCCACACTGTACGCTTCTACATTCAATCAGATATTTGACTGTTTTCAGTAAACTTTGTCTTATAAGAGTGCTAGCAAGAAGCATGGAGAGCAAAAGTCCAGATACTAACAGATATTTAAACATCCCCCAAGCACAAATTAGGTACCCTCCAGAACATGAAGTTTATGAGGGTCAAAGTCTAAGATAGAGGGAGACCTGAACTCAGATCTTCCAAGTTCCAGACTAATGCCATGACAATGATAAATCTTGAGCTTTTTGCAATTTTGCATTTCCTTTTTGCAAAATGAATCATTTTGATTCCCCAAAGGAGGACATATATTCAGATATCACAACTTTGAATATACATTAATATTGTACATACCTACAAACATGATCCGTGGCACATATTGTCCATCAGGTGACAAGTTCTTGTCTGTGGTTTCATGCTGGCAGAGAAATTAAAGCTAGTTATTAAAATATTTCTGTAAATTTTGCTGAATACTCTTGTACCAGAGAAAAAACTGAAAAAGGTACTACTTGTGTGTGTATACACATACGGAAATGCCTGTAACTGAAGTGCCAGAGATATTTAGCTAAAAGGACATGAAAAAGCAAGACAAAGAAAGAGAAAAACATGCCAAAAAAAGATATCAGTCAAACTGCCCCAAACCCTTCATACCATGAGATTCAGCATAACGAAGTTATTTTGGGCCATTTCCTGTATCTCTTCATTTTCTGCAAAGGCTTTCTTCAGCGCTAGAAAAGACACGATCATTTTGAAATCCATCATCTCAAACGCTGCTTTTCCTTCTGCGTTTGGGCACCACGTTGGCCGGAGACTGGCCACATTGTTCCTGTCTCTGCTGATTCACATTCCTGAGGAGACACTTAAGGGCTCTATCACTCCTTTTTGGGGTTTTTTTGACCCATGTCAGCACAACCTCCCGGCTATGAAAATGGAAGCTCTCTTCTGTTATTTATGAAGCCTGTCGTCTCAATGGATACCATGTCTCAGCCTGACAAAAGCGCATTATTCTCAGAAAATTCTTATTAGATCGATTTCAGCAGCCCCGTCCTCGTCTCCTTCTTTAGTTACCAGCTCAGGAGAGCCAAACAATATTAAATCTGTTCAATGAGTCAGTAGCAAATCTGTGTCTCTTAATTTAAACTGACGAGCGCTGCGTTAGGGATAGCAGCACTGAATATTTTTCATGTTCCGTATTGGGCAGTTTCATAGCGGAGTTTTTGTAAATAACAGTAATAAATCCTTAGCTTTTCAAGTACATATTCATTTACCTATTTCTCTAAATAATTTTCAGTAAGTGCAAGATAAATATATAGATATGTGCAGTTCCTTATAAAAATATTCACGAAATTTTAACACTCAAAAAATCAAAATTACCTTGGCAGTATTGACAGTCTTCCAAATGATGAATTACCATCAGTGGCTTGTTACTTTATTAATAATAATAAAAGATGTAGTTAGATCATTTGACAAGTATGTAAATGGGTGATTTTAGTAGCAGACTGGAAAAAGTAAATTATATTTAATCTTATGGTAACCCACAGTTAAACCACACAGACATTCTATAAGGAATCACAGAAATTTTTGAGGAAGGGAAAAGAACATAACTCCTTCATAAAAGAAAAAAAAAATAGAGAAATAGAGTTTCTATATCTAAATACATTTTATGAAGTAAGAGATTCTAGCAAAAAGAAACAAAAAAAGAGCACCACGAGGTTCATCATAACGAACTTATTTTGGGCCATTTCCTGAATCTCTTCAATTTCTGCATCGGCTTTCTTCAGCGCTAGAAAAGACACGATCATTTTGAAATCCATCATCTCAAACGCTGCTTTTCCTTCTGCGTTTGGGCACCACGTTGGCCGGAGACTGGCCACATTGTTCCTGTCTCTGCTGATTCACATTCCTGAGGAGACACTTAAGGGCTCTATCACTCCTTTTTGGGGTTTTTTTGACCCATGTCAGCACAACCTCCCGGCTATGAAAATGGAAGCTCTCTTCTGTTATTTATGAAGCCTGTCGTCTCAATGGATACCATGTCTCAGCCTGACAAAAGCGCATTATTCTCAGAAAATTCTTATTAGATCGATTTCAGCAGCCCCGTCCTCGTCTCCTTCTTTAGTTACCAGCTCAGGAGAGCCAAACAATATTAAATCTGTTCAATGAGTCAGTAGCAAATCTGTGTCTCTTAATTTAAACTGACGAGCGCTGCGTTAGGGATAGCAGCACTGAATATTTTTCATGTTCCGTATTGGGCAGTTTCATAGCGGAGTTTTTGTAAATAACAGTAATAAATCCTTAGCTTTTCAAGTACATATTCATTTACCTATTTCTCTAAATAATTTTCAGTAAGTGCAAGATAAATATGTAGGTAAGTGCAGTTCCTTGTAAAAATATTCACAAAATTTTAACACTCAAAAAATCAAAATTACCTTGGCAGTATTCCATCCAGAGCCTGAAACCTTGGTCTTCTGAATCTTAAGTGGGTGGAGCAGGCTTTGGCTAATAGTGTAACTATCCCACACTTGATTTCCTGCCTCTGTTAGAGCAGAGGATGCTTCAAGCCCATGTCCCCTGTCAGTTGGCATTGAAAGTGAACGTAAGGAGGGAAAAAACTTCCCTGCCATATGACAGCAAAGACCTATCAATTTCCAAGTAATCTTTTGATAATATTTTGAATCTACCATACTTAAACATTTCCTATTTTGTGCTGTGCTTCTCCCCAAACTAAATCTTCTCTTGACCCTACTTTGAAAGTGCTGCCATGGCTATTCTAGGTTATCTCTGGCAGCGAGCTGAACATCATCCCTTTCTCCTGAACATCTCTGGCATGCTGGACAGAGGGTATGCCCACAAACTGGGAAATGTTGCCAAATCTGGAACAGATATGGACATAAATGAGTAGAGCTACACACAACCCAAAGGAATGTGATTACCAGTTTAATTTTGTTTCTAGCATTTTCCCATAGGTTATAAAATCATTTAACTGACTATGAAGATAATATACTGTTAATGACTAATACAAGATTTTTTTTTCCTCTTTGTGTACAGGTCATTTTTCACCATTCTGTTGAAATATGCTCTTATACCCAAATTTTACATAGTTATGAAGACATAGATAGGCACAATGTAACTCATTCATGACAAATTAATACTAGGTATTGTAAAACAGCAAAGCTGTCCTGCAAAGATCCTTCCTTCATCTTTTATATGTGTAGATAGGCAATGTGACAGGAAATGGCAGGTAGCACAAACAAATGGCACTGGTGCTTCAGACATAACGTAACCTAACCTATGTGCTTTTACTGCAAAGGAATCACTTACTGTTTTGCCCTAATGAGAAAGCACATTGCTGGGATAACAAACTGTCTCAACTGACTTCAGCTCTTTACTCAGAAGCAGCATCTGCCTTTGCGTACAGCGATCCTGGGGAGGTTCTGTGGAGACTTCATACATGTAGATCCCCTCACCAAGCTGCCACCATGATGTCTGGGTTGGGATGTTGCAGAAAATGGGGGAATCTGCTGGGATGAGCTTCACATGACTCAAGTGCCACTTAAATGAAAAGATACAGGACAAGCCTGCTCATTTTTCCCATACCAGACTTCACAGGCATCACTTAGCCTCGGGACTGCAGTCCTGGGACTATCTCCTTCCACCTCTCTTCCTTCACTCTGTCTTTATCGTAGCAAAACCTGTAGCTGCTATTTGATGATTATCACCTCAGTGATGTCACGTGCTCAGCGTGAAGTGTCTGTTCTGATTTCAGCTACCAGAATGATAGTTAAGGAATTATACAGTAGAAAGCTGAGCCCAAATCACTGTTTTTTTCCTATATAAGCGATTCCAAAATCTAGAGGAAAAGTCTTTCTGTCTGATTTGCCAGCAAAGTTTCTTTTCCTTTCATGAGAAATAAGTGCATAAAACAGAGATACTCTAACAACTTACAAGGTTCTTACAAAAAAAATAAAAATTAGGAGCTGAGATGCAGCTATGAACTTCTATAATAAATTGCAAATAGACATCAAAAATATTGGTTGTAACTCTTGGTCAGAAGTCATGGCTGACTTAATGAGGTCATAGCTGGATTGATAAAATACAGCTCAAAGTTGCTGCACTTTAAACCATTACTTTCAGTTATTCAGATAACTAATTTCAAAGTGTTTAATAGATTTCTCCTCTTGTTTTCCAAATGGGTGCAATAGTCTTTATATGTTTATTCTTCATATTGTACATATATAAATTTCTTGTGAAATCTGATATACCAAAGCTGCTTGGTAAGAGTTCAAAATGCTAGTAGAGACAGAGAGGTTAACTAAAATATTTTAAAATATTGTGTTTCCTAATACAGGTTCACCTCGCAGAGGCTATGGTCATTTCACTGTTGATGGTTACAGTTCTGTCTGAATGAGGCGCAGTGCTTTCTTCATGTTCTCTATTACTGAAAGAAAAATAAATAAGAACAGTAAAAATTTACTTAAAGCGCATTTGTACAATTAAAAAACCCACCTTGATTACTAAATTGTTCATATTGAAATTAATTTATGGTGACACATTATAGTTTAGAGCTTTCTATTGTGAAAATCCTGACACTGATAGCAAAGCAGAAAGTAAAAAGTTTCACGAATCAAAATGTTTAACTTAAAGGGATTTGACAAGACTCCTTTCATTTCTCAACAGCAAGTCTGGTAATCAGATGTGACGTGCATATTTGTGGTGAGATACGGCATCGGTGTCAGATAGGTGTTATAGAGAAAGGACTAGCTCAGCCTGAAAAATCACATTCCTTTCTGAAATGCGGGTGTTAGGTGGTACCCAGGTAACCACCAGCATTTCTTTTCTGATTCCCTCCCACCACTGCCTGTTTACACTGCGCAGCTCGATACCTTTGAGCACAGTGACTTTTACCATTCTCCAACAACTTGCTCAGATCTTGATCCTGAAAGTTTTTACCTGTGATCTTTCAACTTGTTTTACCTGACTGGTCCCAATAAATTTAATGGGACAATAGGTGTGTTTTGCTGGAACAGGTTAGACTATTATAATGGTTGAGCAAATGCTCACACACAGTCCTTATTCATTACTTTGAGATCTTAACAGGTTCTCAAGCACAAATGATTGGGATGGGGTCTATTTGGCTGCTTAAAACGTGAAATGTAAAGGAACACAATGAAGGGGGCACTTACAGAATGGCATGTCCTGTGGTTCGTAAGTGTAAAGCCGGTTGGAGTATCTTCCTGTGATATCAGCTCTCACTGTGAGAGATGGGTCTGGAAAAGTAATGGTGTTAAACACTGCTTTCCATTCACACAATGGCCGAGGGTGATGGGAGTGGTGCTGCTTTGGCAGCCCTCTTTCTGAGCTGCTCTGATTTCATCGATGAGGCAATTACGAGGCCGTTACGCTCTGTTCCAACTAACTGCTCTTGGAGAAATCCTGAACAAAACCTAATGCTCATTTTTATGTTTTGCAGCTACTTTAAGTGACGGATTAGACTTGCATTTCATTTATATTTAAGAAAAATATCCTGTTTTACATCAGGGGAGGCCAGTTTGACTCACTGCATACATAGTGAGGGTTGTGTGTTCATAATGCATGACCTATCTAGAGCCTTCAGAATGAAAATCTTGTGATTCTCAATGTTTCAACCATAGGAGAAAGTTATTTTGGACATCTCTTCTCCCAGTTCCCCATCCAAGCCTTTTGTTAACTAGCTGCCTCCTGTTACTGCATTGCTCTCTGTCTAAGTGTGGACTTCATCTCACCTAACTTTGGATGCCACCAGAGAGCTGGTCACTCTAGAGTCCCTGTACAGTCAGTGAAAAGGAACAGGCACTCTGGGGCATGATTCATTCAACCTATTCCAGAAGTTGGCTTTATGATGGGATAAATCATTCCTTAGATGCCACTGACTATTGACTTGCCCTGTGGTAATGATGTCCACACTGTACGCTTCTACATTCAATCAGATATTTGACTGTTTTCAGTAAACTTTGTCTTATAAGAGTGCTAGCAAGAAGCATGGAGAGCAAAAGTCCAGATACTAACAGATATTTAAACATCCCCCAAGCACAAATTAGGTACCCTCCAGAACATGAAGTTTATGAGGGTCAAAGTCTAAGATAGAGGGAGACCTGAACTCAGATCTTCCAAGTTCCAGACTAATGCCATGACAATGATAAATCTTGAGCTTTTTGCAATTTTGCATTTCCTTTTTGCAAAATGAATCATTTTGATTCCCCAAAGGAGGACATATATTCAGATATCACAACTTTGAATATACATTAATATTGTACATACCTACAAACATGATCCGTGGCACATATTGTCCATCAGGTGACAAGTTCTTGTCTGTGGTTTCATGCTGGCAGAGAAATTAAAGCTAGTTATTAAAATATTTCTGTAAATTTTGCTGAATACTCTTGTACCAGAGAAAAAACTGAAAAAGGTACTACTTGTGTGTGTATACACATACGGAAATGCCTGTAACTGAAGTGCCAGAGATATTTAGCTAAAAGGACATGAAAAAGCAAGACAAAGAAAGAGAAAAACATGCCAAAAAAAGATATCAGTCAAACTGCCCCAAACCCTTCATACCATGAGATTCAGCATAACGAAGTTATTTTGGGCCATTTCCTGTATCTCTTCATTTTCTGCAAAGGCTTTCTTCAGCGCTAGAAAAGACACGATCATTTTGAAATCCATCATCTCAAACGCTGCTTTTCCTTCTGCGTTTGGGCACCACGTTGGCCGGAGACTGGCCACATTGTTCCTGTCTCTGCTGATTCACATTCCTGAGGAGACACTTAAGGGCTCTATCACTCCTTTTTGGGGTTTTTTTGACCCATGTCAGCACAACCTCCCGGCTATGAAAATGGAAGCTCTCTTCTGTTATTTATGAAGCCTGTCGTCTCAATGGATACCATGTCTCAGCCTGACAAAAGCGCATTATTCTCAGAAAATTCTTATTAGATCGATTTCAGCAGCCCCGTCCTCGTCTCCTTCTTTAGTTACCAGCTCAGGAGAGCCAAACAATATTAAATCTGTTCAATGAGTCAGTAGCAAATCTGTGTCTCTTAATTTAAACTGACGAGCGCTGCGTTAGGGATAGCAGCACTGAATATTTTTCATGTTCCGTATTGGGCAGTTTCATAGCGGAGTTTTTGTAAATAACAGTAATAAATCCTTAGCTTTTCAAGTACATATTCATTTACCTATTTCTCTAAATAATTTTCAGTAAGTGCAAGATAAATATGTAGGTAAGTGCAGTTCCTTGTAAAAATATTCACAAAATTTTAACACTCAAAAAATCAAAATTACCTTGGCAGTATTGACAGTCTTCCAAATGATGAATTACCATCAGTGGCTTGTTACTTTATTAATAAGAATAAAAGATGTAGTTAGATCATTTGACAAGTATGTAAATGGGTGATTTTAGTAGCAGACTGGAAAAAGTAAATTATATTTAATCTTATGGTAACCCACAGTTAAACCACACAGACATTCTATAAGGAATCACAGAAATTTTTGAGGAAGGGAAAAGAACATAACTCCTTCATAAAAGAAAAAAAAAATAGAGAAATAGAATTTCTATATCTAAATACATTTTATGAAGTAAGAGATTCTAGCAAAAAGAAACAAAAAAAGAGCCATCATAATTTCATTCCCAGTTAGTATATAATCAAACGGAAGTGGTATTAAACATTGCTTAGATGTGAATAATCTTAATGAACTGGAATAAAATAATTTTTATAAAATTGAGTTTATCATCAAAAACTTTCTATGAATTTTTTTATGGTTTTAAAGCTTTCTTGAACAGATATACAATAATATTTTTTTTCTGTAAATAGTTTGGTAAAATAGCAGAAGTTTATGGTTTGGGATGTCAAAATATAAAAACTGCATTTTGTTCTGTAGGATTTTTTTAGACTAATGTTGCTGTTCAGCAAATCACTTACGAATGCTTGATCTGCTATCACTGTCAAGCATTGTTCAGTTTGTAACCATTTTCACATAGGGTACATGAAACTGATTGCCTATTATTTTTAAATATAATTTGTATTCAAATTAACAATATCTCATGCTATACTATTATGATCTAAAATGAACTGTAAAAGGGATTTCAGTAAGTATTGTTATGAATTGTCAGATACATTTTCAGCTGAATCTATGAGAAGGGATCCCAGAGAAGATTCAAATGGGAGCTTTCTTTTCTACCAAGACATTGAGAAACTGTGAGTACACCATTCGTATATTGCAACTAATATAGTGTTAGGCAAAACATCAGAGGCAGTAGATCACCATGCAAGAGCTATTTTAACTGATTTCCAGCCGTTGATTAAGGAAGGAACCAGAGGTGTATGATACTGAGGAAAATGACAAGACTTGTGACAAAGAAGTGACAATGTTAATCTATCAGCCCATGATGTTGCTTCAGAGTCATAAGACCCCTACAGTGGCTTTTATTTACAGACACAAAATCTGTTTTGTTTGTCCGGGTGGTCTGCATATCAGCTGTCATGGTGTTTCTCTATTCTGTTTCATTATAGTATGTTCAAGCATACAAGACTAACAACTTTGTCTTTCAAACTGTTTTTTAATCTCTTACCTTTTCTTTGCTTGATAAAGACCTTCTTCGTAAGTTTGTACCCAGGTAATTTCATCTCCCCACCCTAGAAATATAACAAAAGGATTAACTGGTGGCTAGGCAAGTAACTCACAACAAATTCCTTTTCTTATATTTATCAATAGTTGTACACAAATAGGATTTGGGGATTTTAGTCAAAGGTTCCCAAACGTTGTGGATTTGCTAATTCTGCGTCTCCTGAGATGCACTGGAAGATTAAAAACCAAACCAGCAAAACCCCCAAAACCCCTCAGCTGGTTGCATATCCAGTTCATGTCCTTTGACAAATGTGTTAGATATCCTTCTAAATACTCAGAGGTCCTTAAATCCTTTATATCTTTATGTTGTCTGCTCTTTATTTCATGTAGACCCTGGGGCTTATAGACAAAGTTGGCTTATAAAAAAGAGAAAAAAATTAAAAAAAGACAGCCAAATAAGATCAAATTTAATATGAATCGTGTTAGAACAGGCTTGGGTTATAAACTTAACTCCCAAGTAATGAATTTCAATCCCTGGAGTTGCAAGTACTTAATTTAATTAAATAATTTAATAAAAGAATGGCTGTTACGTAAAAATCTCCATCGAAACAAAATCCAAATGAATCATCAGTTTCATAGTTCATCCATAGATGGTGATACACTGATCTCAAAAATAAATTGTCCAGTTGGTTTCATGCCTTCAGACTCCAAAGACGCCCAGGCCCTGTGTAGTAAATCCCTGCTTCCCAGGACGTGAGTTGCTCCATTCATGACATCCCTCGTGGGAACTGAAGAACAGCTTCTGGCTCTGTGCCTTCTCTGCTGGCTGGGCAGCGCTTGGACCAGCCCTGGTTATGCAGAGATTTGCCATCAGCTTTCTCACGGGACAATTGCCTGTGATGCTACGAGGTCATCTCTGCTTTCAGGAGAGCGATTTCAATTACAGATCTGTCTGGTTGGTGGTGGGATTCTGGCACATTGACCAGCGTGTTCCCAGCCCTGGCTGGACTCAACTGCTGACGTAGATGATAACTGCACAGAGGAGTCAGCCAGCAAGGGCCATTTTACAGCAGGTTTAAGTATTCCCCTTTGATCTGTGAAAATTGCAGGTAAAGTGCTCAAGGCATCCCAAAAGGCCAGAAATCAGAATTGGAAAACTGACACTTGCCTTCTGTGACTTTTTTTTTTTTTTTTCAAAATTGCCAGAAAGGATGTGGAATAAGAAGATGCACTACTTAGAGTGTTGCTTAACACTAGAGAAACATACCTCAGTAAGTATATATGTGCTTTCAAGTATATTCCAAATAAAAACATTTGCTGACCTATATGTAAAAAAAGGAGGTAACTACCCAGAGTAAATATACACTACCTCTTGACAGTGTCTGAGGTGCTCGTTTTTCCTTTTTGATTGCCATTGCAAGGTTGGAAGAGACAGCAATTAGCAGAAGAGATAAGGCCAATGTTGAATGGAGCATTATTCCTTTGAGAAGATCCCTCTCAACACAGCAAGGGAACTGGAAAACAAAGCAACAGCTTTAGTCGCATGGATTTGTTACCTGGTGCAGTGTAAATCAATGTGTTAGTGGTATCATAGAGTCATAGAATGATGTTGGTTGGAAGGGACCTTATAGACCATCCAGTTCTAACCCCCTGCCCTGGGCAGGGACACCTCCCACCAGACCAGGTTGCTCCAAGCCCCATCCAGCCTGGTCTTGAACCCCTCCAGGGATGGGGCATCCACAGCTTCTCTGGGCAACCTGTTCCAGTGTCTCACCCCCCTCACAGGAAAGAATTTCTTCCTAATATCTAATCTCAATCTCCCCTCTTCCAATTTAAAACCATTCCCCCTCATCCTATCACTACACTCCTTCATAAATAGTCCCACCCCATCTCTCCTGTAGGCCCCCTAACAATCCATACTACAGAGACAGTTTTGGTTATTTCTAGCAATGTGTTTCTTTGTAAGATTAGTGCAAAATGGAGGTTCTTAATTTTATCATGTGGGACTGCTTTCGGTTATCAAACTCAGGCTGCAGGGGACAGTTTTCACTCCAGTGTAATCTGGGGAGCAAAGTGAATTTCAGCTCATTTGATTCTACATGAATCTGACCCAGCATTTGATTCTGGAGAGCTACTATAATGTTGTCATACTGGATCATGAAAATTTCAAGACAGCGCTACTAGTTGCTCATTCTGTTCATTCTGTTAGTTTTTTACTGTCAGTGAAACATAACAGCTTGGGATCTTTTACATGCACAGTAGGTTTTTTGGTGAAAAGATGTCTCATGATATCTTTCTTAATAAGATAGGAAAATTGACAAGTATATGCCTCCGGTTATAATACATTTTAAATTGGAAAATCCCTCTAGAATGTTGAAACTGGCATCATTTTTTTTAGCCTGCACTCTGTGAAACAGGATGTTAAAGATTGTGAGATAAACGTCAAAGAAACTTCCAGCTGTTTTTCATAATGAAACTCAAAAATTTCCCCATTCTTCATGGCATTTTCAAACTGATTTTCAGCTCAAATCCTGCTTAATAAGAGAATCTGCCTGTGCTCCTGGCTGCTTCGGTATTCTGAAGATGTTTGCTTCTGTTCCTGACAGAGATCATTATAAGAAATTCAGTGACTTCTGGTCTTGATAAAGTCAGAGAACAAAAGCAATGGTTGAGGAAAGGCATTACAAAGCCAATTTTTTTAAAGTGGTAAGTCTTCTTTCTCCCCGTACAATCATCTTTAAGCTCTTGTGTTCAGGTGGATACCTGATGACTTGAATTAAGTTTAAAAATATAATGCATATAGCCCAGGATACCACTCACTTGGCTCATCAGTTCTCACTGGAGATTTCACTTTTCAGAGGCTGAGCTTTAGTAGTTGCCAGGATGAGAAAGTGCTTTGACTTAAATAAATAATAAAAAAAGAACACCTGCCCCCAAGCACTTTTGCCTGTATTGATAATGTCAAACTTGAATTTAAAAGTGATATCCAGTATGGAACTACAGCCCTGACCACTTGTAAAAGAAGATGCTCCGTGCTTCTTAGAACAGAGAGGCATGAAAAGTGCAGCAGCTTTTATCCTTAATTTAATGAATTCCTCAACATTGCTAACATCACTGTTAACAGTTTGACTTCTAGTGAACAAATTCAAATACAGCTTCCACTCTTTGTATAACTAACGGCTTCCACTATTTGTACAAGATTGCATGTTAAATTGTGCAAAATTTTAGAAAAAATTAAGCATCATAGTAAGAATTCTATATTTCTGAGGGAATTTCCCTGGGTTGCTAAAATAATTAATATATTAATTATATTTTTCTCCGTGTCTCGTTCACAACAGGTCCCTTTCTCCCCTCCATGGTGTCACAACCCTGGAGTTGTTCTTGGTTTCACATACGTTCCTCCTCAGGCTCGTTCCCATCAGCTACTGTGGACTGAGTTTGAGAAAGGAGTCTCCTTTGGAGCTTATTAATTATGCACATTAATTTGATGATTGCAGATTATGGATATTTAATAAGAAAATGTGAAGTTTCCCACTGATTCCTAAGGAGAAACTATAACTTTTAGTTAAGTCTGGGGGATGAGGATTTTTTGGTAATAAAAATTCCGTTCCAATTTTCCACGTTTGTGCAGATCATTAACCAGTCAGCAAAAGTACGTCATTACACCCTAATATTATACTCCTGATAAATGAGTATTTGTAGCAGTTCTATGTGAAAGTTAGTAACTATCTTTAGTATCAGTTTACCTATTAGATGTTAATAACAAAATCTAGCATTTATGTTAAAGTCCTATTTAACCATAAATAGTTATGACTTTGAAATCACACCAGATAAAACAGGTACGGAACGTGTGAATCCATTCTTTCTTTCATGATGTATTTGTGGAAAAATCAAAGTGTAAGTCTCTTAAAGTCACACTATTAATAATCTGAAGCTTAAATAATTGATTATTATCTTACAGAAACCCAATAGAGTTTGGAGAGATAATTTATAGAGCTGTAGCTGGAGGCAGTTTAAATTAAATATTCTGAATTTTTGATGTTACATGATTCAGTGCTAGTTAATTGATTAAGAGAAAAAAATGACAACCAATGCCATATAGATTGCCTTCATCTCTCTGTCAGAACAAATGTTTTTCTAGCTAATCTCTAAGCATCTATCATTTGTCTTTTTTGTATAACTAGGCTTGTAATACATGCACAAGCAAACCTCATCACAGTACTAAAGGGAAGTTAAGAGTGAGAAATATTTGCTCACCAGCAGCGATCAGCTCTCCTGATAGAAGGTCCTTTTTCTGGAACTGGTTATTTAAAAATCAGTGTGGTTTTAGCACAGAACACCTGAGCTGCCCAGGTCTCTGTGTAGCAACAACAGCGCATTCACCTGGGAAAAACTGAGAGGAACCTTTTAGCTGAAAACCAAATTCACGTGTTTTCACCCTCCCCCTTTCTTTTCTGCCATCCCTCCAACTTTCGCTCCTGTGAGTTCCCATGCTCGTACACTGCACCCTTGGATTGCTCTTCATCTTGGCTTGTATCAGGTGTCTTGCATGAGGACTGAAAACAAATACTGGCTTATGTGTGTCTGTTGCTTCCCCCCTCAAACAGGCTGAGCCTGGCTCATGGCCAGTGAAAAAAGAAACCACCAACGAAAGCTGGAACTGTGGGTGCTTTTGTTCCCAGTGAATGGCTGGGTTCGCTGATGCTGGGAGATAGGTATGAACCTCATCGGAAGACACAAAGGTTACTTTGTGTAGAGGAATGTAATTAACAAATAAAAGGAACTTTTTTTTTTTTTGAGAGGGAAATAAAATTATTTATTTCAAAAATATAGTTTAAAGTATCTGATTATTGCTTCTCTGAATCGCAGTTTAAAAATGGTCTGATTCTTTGGACATGATGCTTCATATAATTTTGACCTAACTTCACTAATACAAAGTCCTTTATTCATCATTTTTGCTGGATCACCTTTTCCCTCCTCCTGGGGTAGTTTTTGCGAGGGAATCAGAAGCAATCTTCTTTTGGTTCTTCCTCTCCCATGTATTTGTTTATATGGACTGTATGGTTACACTTTTTCCCCCTCCTTTTCATGTAAAGTCTGAATTTTTATTTGTCTTTGATGCTTTGATCTCCTGATCTTTGTTGTCACTGGCAGGTATATGATTAATGATGTATGGTTCTTGCATTATGTATTATCAACTACTTTTGTACCAAAAAGTGCAAAATGTGACTTTCTGTATTTTTAGTGCTGAGTTTTATTCAACGTTTGTAATGGAGAATTCAAACTTGCATTTCCAGTTAAAAAAAAAGTATAGTAACTGTATTGAAATCCATGATACACTTAGCTCCTGGAATGGCTGCAAAAAAAAAGGAACAGAGTTTGGTTACAAAAGAAGTGCAGGCAGGTATTTAAATCAAAGTGTTATATTACATTTATTCATTTAAATTTTAAGTAAATGAAGAAGACTATCTGAAGTCAAACCAAGGGTGATTTAAAATACCTCCCTCTATCCAAGCTTTGGGTTTTCATGTAGAAATTCCAGGCACTGAAGCTTCAATTTTTCTTACTCTTCAACTAATTACAGATCACTAAATAACTAGAAATACAGAAATTTTCCAGTGTACTGAAGTGTATTGCTGCTCAACCCTGAGATATTATGTTCTTCAGCTTTGAAATATCGTGTTCTTCACAGCACAGGTTTCTTATTGCAAGGAGTAAAGGAGTAGATACTCAATCAGATGATAGATTAAAATTAGTGCTGAGCTACCTGTGAGTGTTCTTTGGCAGGTGAATGTTCAGAAATTTGTCTTCTGTGTTCTATAGTTGAAGATAATAATTTCAGCCTTTGCCAGTCTTTCCATGGAGAGGCTGGCAGTCCTGGTCAAATGGACCTTGTCGAGGTTTAATACTGGAAAAAAATTATGGTAATGCTTTCTAAATCCAAGCTGGATACCTTCACAGCACCTATTCAGTTAGGTGGGACCTTATTGGCTCTCTGTCCCTGCTTTCTTCTGCATGTGCTCAGCATGTTTGGTGTGAAGCTCTGGGTCACACACACCCCCACACAAATGCAGGCAATGCTGGGCTTAATGATAACCTGATAACCCTACCAGATTTGTTAGCCCGTGGGAACTTACTTATATGAGCCCTTAAGCGGAGTACAAATCTGAATTTGATGAATGCACTGAATGTAAATTTATAGCATGAGAATAGAAGGTGAAAAAAGTCCACATCTGAAAGAATTTCTAAGGAAAAAGATCAGGCAGTGACACATCTTTGCTCTGTGTGGTTTCTCATGGGTTACTGCTTCTCCTCAAGAGGGTAAGTGACATCCCCTGAACTGCAGCAGGCTTAGTAGAAGAAACCTGGATTACAAGTAAAATGAAGTATCTACAATTCAAGTGAAAATAAAAATTTTCAGTTATGCTTTTGACTTTTAAAAAATCTCCTCCTTCAGTACTTGCAGAACTGAAATACTCCTGCCTGACACCCCCTCCCTGCTGCTCCTGTATCTTTGGGTTCCACGGAGACCGGCCTCTTTCTGTGCTCAGGTGAAGGTATGAAGAGGATGACGATGTGAACCACACCTCAACTACTGTAATAAAGAGGATTATTAAGACCCTCTAAAAAGCTGGTTTCTGGTTTAGCACCTATAATGTAGACACTTTGTTGCATCTCTCAGTCAAGCTATCCTAATTTTGTAGAAATTATAGCTTAAGAAGAAGGAGTGGAGCTGGTGAAATGTGTTGGAAGGAGCCTGCTGGCCGTGCTGCTGCTGTCTGCTGCTGCAGGTGAGCTGGTCTTGGTGTGGGAAGCCAGGGAAGGTTTCCAGCTCAATTGCATTAAACCCTGACCACATTTCTTTGGCAGGTGAAAACAAATGGTTTGACTCTCTTTTTTTTTTTTTTTTTTTAAGTTTTTGTTTCTTTTTTTTTTTTTTTTTTTTTTTTTTTTTTTTTTTTCCCTGTAAGCCTGGTAGTGTCAGCTCCCTCCTTTATAAGAGTGAGACAAAAGGCTCTGAGTTTAAAGAGAGAAGCAAAAATGCAGTAGTGTCACTGATGGAGGAAAGAAAAGGGAGTGAAGGATTCAGGTTTCAGTGATGAGTTACTCCTATATAAAAGATTTCCTTCTTTTTCTTTGTTACTTGTTCCACAAAGGTCCTAGCATCAAGATGGGTGTGAATTTTTTATAGAGCTGCTGCTTGTTTTGGGTTGGACCACACTGTGGTGAAGACTGGGAGTGATGGTGGTCAATATTGCAATGTTTGACTCCCAGGGGTTTTTTACTTTGGAAAGCTGATTTCATAGAGAGTTCCTAGTTCTGCTTTTAAAAACTGCTTTGATGCCTTCATATTAAACAGGGCACAGTGGTAAGTAGATTTTTCTTCTTTGTATTTGAAACTGTTAAGATAGCTGTTGTAAGAATGTATGTAACTCAAGTGCTTGGTGCAGTAAACAGATTTTCAGTTGTGCCATTTTTCAAAGCTTTATGAAAAGAAAATCTTCAAAACACTGGAAGGCCTTTTGTTTTTAGATATTGCAAAGGAAAAGTCCTTTGACAGTCAGAACGGTTAGTTTTCTCTGGCGTGATAAAGATAGTTTTACTTCAACCTGGCATCCTGAAAGCATTTTTTTTTTCCTCTGTTATAATTCTTCTGTTAAATGTCAGATTTACTTCAGAGAGTGAAATCCAGCTGTATCTGCAGGACAGAGGGCTAAATCCTGAAAAGAAAGCTGTCTTGTAACTCCACAACTTGGAACAGCATGTACACAAATATAGATATGGTTCTCAAATGGGACGACCATTCAGGAGAATGTCAATAGGCAGCTTATAATAATCCTTCAAAGAGGACATCAGGATTAAAAAGTGTTGATGGCAAAAAGCTGGGGAGTCCTTGGATCTGTCTTAGATGATGCCTCCAGGTAGTGCTCGCTATGATTCCCAGGGACTGATTTGGAGGGTTAAACACTTGCTGTTGACCTGCTTCCTCAGAAAGGGAGGTTGCTGATGAAGTTCTTACTCCGTCCAACTCTGCCTTGGCTCATGCGTGAGCAAGGGATGAGATCACAGCTCCTGTGACAGCTGTAATTCTGCATCGTGCCTGCAGATTCTATTGATAACTCTGCAAAAGCCTTTTACGCATGCCCAGTGTGCCTTGATTAATTAGGAGCTTGCACAGACGCAATGCCCAAACAAATTTTACACTAAACAATATGACAAAGCATCATGGAGCACGTATTTTCATGAGTGAGAGGTACTTCTGGCTCCTGACACAGGTCAGCAGCGAGCAGTGGGTCTGGACCTCAGGGCGCAATTGAACAGCCAATACAAGAGCTGAGAACGACGCTCCGGGCTCAAAGTGCTGAGCATTGGCTTTCACTGCCAAAGAGAAAAATGATTAAATGGAAAAACCCTGCAAGTGTCTGTTGGGCTTAGGTTTTGACTGGCAGCCAAAAATCATTATTAGAAAATTTTTGGTTCATTTCAATAAAACCATTTAAAGAAATCTAGAGATGACATGCTGCTTTTTTTTGGTGGGTTTTTTTTTTTTTGGTCTCTGTGTGTGTCTTTCAAAATAGCCACCATTGTGGAAACGTCGCTTCTGGTATTACAAGTTGATTCACAACAGATGCACTTATTTTTATTTTTTTTTTTTCTTTCTTAAAAGCAGAGTTCTAGGTAATGCTCAAGTGAACAAACTACTCCAGTGTTGCCTGAACCCCAGTGGTTTTCTTCCACTGGACCACTGTGCTTTTTTAGCTTTGTATTCCTGTAAAGACATTGTTATGGAACATAAGCATAATAATATAACTGGAAAAACATTTATTGAATTAGTTTTTACAGTGGTTTACACTGGCTGCAAACCATATTCTCTGTTTCTCAAGCCAATGTCTATGCTTTCACTTCTAAGCCTTCATCTTATTCCAGTACTGTCACCTCTAACCCCCTCCAGGGTTTTCTCTGTATTTTTGGGACACTCTGGTTCCTCCATCCTTAAACTGCCTCATAGTACAGTCCCTGGAAAGCTTGGTTCCAGGCTTAATTGCCACCTCGTTGTCAGCTGTTCTGCAGCTTGGTGCCTCTGTGAGTCACTACTGTCTATTGGCTTCCACTTCCAAATGAGATTATTTTCCTGCCTTCAGGCTTCTTAAATTTCTCAGACACTTTTATAGATATAAAGCTTTGAAGACTGTCGGGGAAAAAATATGATTTATTATTCTTCATGGATTTTGCTGAGATTTGCAGAATAAATGTGTTTTGGTAAATAAAAGGAAAGGCATGCTGGATGTTGCTGTTTGCTCCCTCTGGTCCAAAAGTACAAAGTGTTCTGGACAATATGTTTATTTAATGCCATGTGAGCTCTGACAGGCAGAGGTTGCCTGTTATGCTCCACCAGCAGACC